GCTCCAAGCGTTATGTTATCCTCACCACTGAATCTACCAGGCTGACATCTGTTCAAAAGTAGACTTTTTGAGTAGTAGTCTCTAATAGCCCTGCACAACAATCGCCGAACTAATGACGTTTTCCGCGGAATCTACGCGAGTCTTGAATCGTTGGGTCTCACTGAAGTCGGGCTTAAGACCTCGGCTAAGGGTTCTTTCAAGACCACAGCCTGTAGGAAGGCACATTCTTGTGTAGTATAGATGTTGAAAATATTGTCGATGCACGCTCCGACCGACACATTTTCCATGACGAGCCTCTCGAAATTTTCATTAAAGTGTGTCGGTAGAATTCAGAAGATGACGTGACAGAAATATCATAGTATCTCGATAGAAATCGGAAGACCTCGAGATGGATCTTTGGTTAAGCAGCGAACTTACTGACCGGAAGGTCCATTGTTCAAACTCGACCCCTATATCTCGAATGCTCGTCTCTAGGCTTGGGAGCCCTCGTGCTTCCTTCGTGTAGAACGGTAGCTAACCACCGAAAGGGTGTTACACCTGGAGAAGTATCAATATGATTTATGGAGATTGGAGTTGACTCGGCCTCAAATTAACTTGTTCCACGGGTGTGGGAATCGAATCGAAGAATCGTTCAGCTGTAACATTCTTTCGGGGTGTTACAGACCTCTCTCAAGAGAGGCCACCGTGAGCATAACTAGACTGGTGGTCGTCCGTCTGTGATGGCTTGCTACATACCCAGAGCGTCGATCGGCTTTTCGACAGTCTTGCATGTTTCCGCAAAGATGACCACATACACATTGTCTAATTTGTAAGCTTTGGAATGTCGTACTCGCATGCCACAGTGGCGCGAGTACGTGCGACCCCATCTGTCTTGCATAGTTCACTTCATTCTACTTCGTTATTCTGCTTAATGTTGAGGGTAAAAAAATAGTTAGATGACGCCCGTTGTGTGTGTGTGCGGGTCTATTGGTATTCAATTCGTGACATGCAGTGTTCGGAGTTCTTCCAAGGGTGGTTGGTCTAATGGAAGGATCAGTGAGCTTTGGTCCTGAAAATACTATCAGTTTTGCGAGGTCTCCTTTACAGTTAAGCACCTGATGAATCGTTTTCAGTCAGCCTTGTTTGTCCCTGATCCAGAAAGTGAATCTGAAAAAAGCCTACTGGAGCATTCCGGTATATACAGTTTTCCTTTGTATTTAAAGGGGGCGAGATGGTTCAGTGGTTGGAGCGCAGATTTACCGACCGGAAGGTTCGAACCCGACCTTTGCCTCTCGACTTCCCCTGTCTAGGCTTGGGCAACTTGGCAGTACCCAAGCTCTTGAGGTTCCTTCTGGTGGCATGGCAGTAAGGCACCGAAAGGGCGCTACAGCTGAACGATTTTTTTGCATTTAAACTCCCCCGATGTTCAGGGTTGTGCTTTCGACGTATTTAAAGTACGCTTGTCGTACGAACCACGACTTGGTGTACATTTTCTTCATGAGCAGGTGAATTCTAAATCTCCGTCTATAGTGATGTAATTCGAACAAATACGAAAAACACCTGCAACTCCCAGGGTAAGCCTTGTTCTAGTACCATCTTTAATTACACACGTCTTATCCGACTACTTTGTTAAAAGTGGAATTCATCAGCATTCTAGAAACTGATGGCATGTGATACGTGCCAATAACAGATCGTGTATCGATCGATCACATGCCGGCCTGTCGTTTTTTTCAACTCGTCGCCTATCACGCTTCACACTTGNTGTGCAGCGAATCAGTCTGGCACGGAAAGAGTGTGTAATTGTCAACCAGTAGGGCGATTCTATTTTGATGTCTGCTGTCTTGATGTGAGTTTGAACGGAAACGACAATTGTTGAACGTGGAAAGTTTTACCTGTCAACGAAATTGACTAGTATCAATACATGTTTCTTTACCATGAGTGAAGTTGTTTTCTCGCCTGATAGAACTGGGATAATGGACCGTGCCGTCTGAATTTCAGTTGGACTGAAACATTGCTCCATTGTTTGAATCCAGTTCCCAATGAGGGTGGAACGGCTGGTGGCTGATTTGCTGATTATCAGAACCATAGCTCTTATGGGTTGGTGTCGGCGAATCCGTAACGAGGCAGTTAGAAAGCGCGTTTTCGGTTGTGCGACGAGTACTTCCATTAAAGAATGTGTCCAGCACCAGAAGCTGCGTTGGTTGGGACATGTGTTACGTATGCCGAACCATCGTTTGCCGAAGAGAGTACTGTTTTCCATGCCCAATTCGGAGTGGCGTAAACAGAGAGGTGACCAACCCTTGACCTGGCAGAGGAGTATGAAGGAGATCACGAAACGCTTGGGTGCTGTCGGTGCTACTCGCCTTCCAGGATGGGGACCGCGTGATCTTCACTGTGCCTGGTTGGAGACACTACAAGATATGGCTGTCAGCCGATGTCAGTGGTATTCATGTTGTCGGTTTCTATCCAGATCGCCTGAGTGAATGTCTGGAGGTGTAGGCACCTCGGAATGATTGTGTTAAGCTAGCACTAAGTCCCTCCCCCATCCACCTTTACTTTTTTTCTTTACAATAAGGCTTTCAAATACATCATGGTTGTATGGCAGTGAAGCATCGGTGTTGAACACTGATGTCATGCTGTCGATGATGATTATCACTAGAATAAATTTCATCTAAACTTGTCGACGTGGTCGAACTTCAGCGGTTCGGTTCAGCGGGATCGAACGTCTTTCGTTAAGGCTTCATCAGAGGAGCTAGCAGAGAGCAGTCAAATAGAAGAAGCCTCCACGCCATATCAACGAGGCGATCTGTAGACAAGGCCGAACTTTTCGCTGCAACAGAAGTGTGAGAACAGTAAATAGTCTCGATAAAAAGCGGTAGTCGTCCAGAGGTTTTGAAGTCTGTACTACAGTATTTACAAGTTGTAGCCGGGGAAAAGTTTCTGTCAGGTCGCTGGTTTTCCGCGTTTGATAGGAACCTTTTCGCAATTCACACTAAGAATAGTCGTCGTAAAAGTGTTTCCTGGCTAGTAATGCAGTTTCATAGTACTGGGGTCCAGATTTGTTTGCAGTGTGTCACTTTGGCTTTCCTGAATGTTGAATGCTGCGAACGGTTTTTCACAATTTCTTCTGAGTACCAAGAACTTCGTCTTTGGAATAAATCGGATGTCTTGTAATTAGTCTGTTTTTTTAATAAAAAACCCAGGGAGTCTTTTCTTTTCCCAGTCTCTTCTCCAACTAAATGCAAGCAAAAAGATCACTCTGTCCTTACCAACTATTTTATAACTATGGTCGTCCATCTTGCCTCGAGCTCTGTTTGGAGAGTCCCGAACGAAAACTTTAACGTTTCACCAAGGTCCCACAAACGTATATCTTTGAAGCTACAGTCATCATCATCGACATCATGACATCAGTGTTCAACACCGATGCTTCACTGCCGTATTGAATGTCATGGTTGTACGGGGACTGGGATACTGCCAGGGCGCCCATACCTAGACAGGAGGACGATTAAGGTCCTCAACCAAAGCCTTTGGCTCAAAAGCCTAACCGCAAGGCAGCAGTGTTTGGCGGGCAACGCAAATGCATTACCATTTCTACCGGACAAGTCGCCGCATGTTCCAACCCCAACCTGGAGGGCCAGGAGACTGTGTTCGTCAGACCTCTAACCATTGACCAGCCTGGTATGAGAGACTCTGTGAGTGTCACGGGGACACTCCCCAGTATAGCTCAATGGATCGCTGAGGTGCGCAAACCGTTACACCACGGTGAGGTCCAGTCTCTTCGTGACAGACGGTAGACTGTTTTGAAGCTGTCCGGCTAAGTGACACCACTTGTAGGTACCTTTTGAAGTCACCTATACCGTTCAATAGTTTGAAACCATATTCATATCGTTTCCGAAATTGTCCATTACGGGTGCCAGTTAACCCGCAGCTGTGTGTGCACTCCATTACTCTTGTACGCAACAATAAACTTTTTTCTGTGTAAAGATGCGAAATAATGGTGGTTAATCGGATGGCAGTTGATCTGTTCGCCGAACTTGGCAATGGCTTGGAAACAATGGTTTTCCAACTGCTTCCTTACAGACGCCGACCTAGATAATGTGCCGTTTTGTGCAACATCGTTTGGTGCACCTTGTAGTTATCAGCAGTTCTGGTGGTTGATCGGATTGCGGTAAACACACTCGAGCTACCTATATTCCGACAAATTGGTGCGAAATAACCCAAGCGAGTGTTGGCCATTTCGTTCTGGATCGGGGATCAACCCTACTAAAACAACCTGCTATGAACCGACTCGGAATGTGCACTCAAGAGTCGTGAGCGTCGCCCTTATTCCTCTTTCCAACCCTGATATACTGAAAGACGCTCTCAGGAGGTCAGTGCCTGCTTGGGACAAGGCGATAAAACAAAGTCGGTTCTTGTCAAAACGATTTAGTTGTAAAAACCCGGAAACCAAATGCAAATCGCATTCTTCCGTTATCTAATTTCCGTGGAAAGGAGTCTCTTTATATCGATCAGCCCCAATCGTTGTTTTAGAGAGCGACGTTTATGCACAGCCACCAGCAGTCAGTTTTCGACTATTTTAGGATAATTGAAACACTAAATTCTAATGAACTAGCCTACAAAAAGTCCAATACTGTCAAGCCTCGTTGTGCAGCCAGCCATTAGGATAATGACACCCCCGTCTTCCACTTCCGGTTTCTGAAAACGGTTTCTTTCTTATCGTAACCCTTGGTATTACCCAGACCACATGGCCAAGTGTGTGTTGTCGCGACAGTTTCAGCGACATGGTTTACTTCACTGGTATTTTTCTTGATTTGCGTGTACGCTTATTCTTAATCGTGTTGCGGTCAGCAGCTGTTTGTCGACTGCTGTCAGCTAGATTAGTGATAAACGGGAGTGCCCAAGTGTGTATCATACACCACACCTTTGTTACCTCCGTGTTGATGGATATCGGTTTCCAATTGGTCTCGTTTTTCGCACTTTTCTGTTAATCAGTTTCTTTATGGCCCATTTTTTTCTTCCAGCGACACAGCCTATCCAAGGCCCCCTATCTGTCTCAAACGTTGGACGAACTCAGTTTGGGTACGTATGCTTCCAAAGTACACGTGATCCGGACCGACACCACAGTCATCGCTGCACTGCATCTGTTCCTTCAACATCAAATATCTTGTCTTCCGGTTATCGATGAACAAGGTCGTCTTACTGATCTCTATTCGAAATTTGACGTATTTGTAAGTTACTTATTCTTCAGCGTTACTTTTGTAAGTGTTATCACTGTTATTGTCCTCAGTATTTTCATTACAGATACTCCCCATTCCCATGGAAGGGAAGACTAACGTGTTTTTTGATAAGAAATTTATCTCCGCTCATGAACTGAAAAGAAAAAATCGTTCATTGTAACACCCTTCCGGTGCCTAGCTGCCATGCTACTCGAAGGAATCGCGAGGGCTGGGATACTGTCAGGTTGCCCAAGCCTAGACAGGGGAAGTCGAGAGGCAGAGGTCGGGTTCGAACCACGGACCTTCCGGTCAGTAAATTCGCGCTCCAACCACTTGGGCCATCTCGCTCACGAATTCACTCGACCTTGTTGTGATTTGATGGTTTGTGTGCACCAGTGCGACTCACTGAGCTACGCCGTAGGTTTTTCATATCGCACTTACAGGTACTGTAATACCAGGTTGGTCAATGGGCAGAGGTCAGATACACAGTCTTCTTGTCCTCTGGGACGGGGGTTGGAGCAGGTATTGCAAGATGTTCTTTAGCAATTGAACCACTCTGGCGCCCTTACCTTAGTCATTTTTCGCCTTGCTGTCAATTGTTTTGAACAAAAGACTCCAGCTGAGGGTGCTGACTGTCCTCCAATCTAGAGTTGAACCTCCTGTCAGTATCTCACCCCATGTATGGCCATAATTTGTGTAGGCCTTTGCGTCCTACTAGTAACTCGGTCGCTTTGTTTGATACCTACAACAGGGCAGATAAGCGAAACCAGTTTCCCGCTGACACCTGACGATCAATCTTCATTCGATTTTATCCATAAACTTGTTTGCCTTGAATCCGAACAGGTGACTACTTGCATGCCACCGTTCACATTTATCGCTTCTCAGACCTCGCTTTTCTGTTTTTATCGCAACTAGCGAGTATGTGGGAATAGTACATCATTTAACGGCTATTCTCAAGCTCTTTCATAGTGCCACTCGTAGTCTGAGAAGATCAACTGATGATCCTGGTTACAAATGGTCAGTATGCGAATTCATCCAGCAAACTCTGTCAACTCGTGTAACAACAAAAGGTGATTTGGGAAAAACTGGAGCAATCCGATTATGCCAAGATCTCAGTCATGTGCAGTTGCAACCAGCCGGACACTGAATGGTCGTGCCACCGCCACGGGCTGAGATGCGGCAGATGAAATTGCGATCGATCGGCCACAGGTATGCTCGCTCAACCCAGTGGCTGGGGCTTGGCCACCTAAAGTAAAAAATGTATTTAAGGCCCGTGATGTAAACAGGTAGTAGCTGAGCCAAGGGTAGCACAACACTCAGGTCGTGATCCCCGTTGTCCTCGCGATTCGACCGTGTTGCATTGGCCTGTGTCATAGGGCTAGCGTTTATTACTCCCCTCCAGCCCGCAGCTATCAGAATGAGCCCAGCAGGTGTCATTCAAAGATGGCGGTGCGTCCGTGTGTTTTGCTTTGACTAGGTTTTGTAAGCTAATTCGTGGATAAGAAGGCTTTCCAGCCACCTGGGACCAACCAACCCGAAGCGACTGCTCCAACCATATGAATATGAGTCCTCCCTTAGCTGTGGCACGGCCTCCAGCCTCAATAATACTGTCACATATGACCTCATCACGCAAGTCCGAGTGCACAGATCGCGTCCTCATATTGCACCAAGTATATTGCAACGCCACTTGTACCGCGGACCAACTGTGGCTGCTCTCCTTGACTTCAAAGACCTTGGATAAGATGACCCCCCTCTGCACATACTTGCCAACGAGTAATGCCCTGAAGGTTGACGAATATTCTTCGTGTCATTTATTCCCACATTTTTGGTCGCACTACGGTTCACAATGAGCTAACCAGAATACACTCATTTGCAAACTGATTTGGTTTTGCGAGAGACTCACTCGGAACCCAGCTAAACCTCTCGTTTGTGGTGTTTCCAGGCAACCGAATGTGCTGCACCAGGCCGCCCATGTTTCAGTCGCTACGATATTCCAGATATCGCGACACATGTATATACTTTTGTAATGCACTACTCATAAGGTCGAGCAGTTTTCAGAGCTATCCGGAAGTTTAATAACGACCAATGAGATTCGCCGAAGATGCTCCCATTTTTATTGTCTACTACATCATGATGTGTACTCCCGAGCAACCTCGATTCCGACGATCAAAATCACGTCTGGAAAAAGAGTGATTGGCCTAGATTACGCGGCTGATATTTTTCTCTTATCTGACGACCATGCGCCTACACATCTCATCATGATCTAGCAAGCAGGTTGCACCTTCCTGGTCTAAGGTCTTACTTTCCACACCAATGTACCCCTTTGAAACCTACCTTGGCAGATAAATAAGCCATGACGTTAGTACACGGCAAGGGGAATATTTGCTGATTTGCAAAACTTTTGGTGTCAATTGAAGTTAAGGAGCCGCGTCTACAAAACAAAAATATGAAAGTAGTCCTACTCCGTGGCTGGGAAACTTCGCTCATCCCCTGATTTGAATACCTCAAACGCGATTTCCCTTCGGCTAGTGATTGAACACCTAACCATCTATAGAGGAAAATGTCGGTAGCTCAGGTAGCGTGGTTGTGGCACAACCACTAATCCACCGCTACGCACTACTACGCTCCGCAATAACGCACTGATGATGTCACCTCGATTGGTGATGAAACGTTTGCAATCAAACTGCCCAGCTCAGCGAACAAGCCAACGACCACCGCCTTTAGATATTTGATGACCGCTGTCTCCATGGTGTTGTAGGCGTTGACTGGCTGCCGCATGTACGTAATGAAACAATCCGTAAGCAAGTACTTGGTGATGAGTTGCATTCGCCCGAGCGGCTTATCAGGCTAAAGTGGTTGAGACACGTTCCGCGTACGCCAGACAAGCGTCTACCAAAGAAAGGCGTGTTCTTAACCCCAAACCCGTGTTGGAGAAAATTTAGCGAAGGAGCTGGCAAGATTGTGTGAAGTTGAGCACTGTGAGGCTTTTGTGCCCCTCTGGGCGGAGCTCAAATGATTCTCCTTCCACGTGGTTGAAAACTCTACGGAGCATGGTACCTAGGCGATCATATTGACTAGCTTGCCGCCACTTTTTGGCCGGGTTGCTTAGCTGTCTGTCGTTATCTGTTGGCAGAGACGTTGGATCAATCTTGCTGATGGCATCATTCACCCACGTGATGTTCAGGTGTGTTTATTTCAACGGTTTCAGGTATTGCCAAGTTACTCTTGGCCGTCTCCCCCAAGGACACAGGACTTTGTGCGATAAGTCCGTACTTTTCCAGTTGCGAGGGGAAACGACTCAGTGGGTAGAGCGCGGATTTACTGACCGGAATGTCCGTGGTTCGAACCCGACCTCTACCTCCGGACCCCCCGTCTAGGCACTCTGGCAGTATCTCAGCCCTCGTGCTTCCTTCGGGTGGTATGGCCAATAGGCACCGAAAAGGTGCTAGAACTCAGTAGGTGTGTTAGTCAGAACACCGAAGTATATTTCACTATTACTTACTACTTACTACTTACATCCTTATTGGAGCCCATCAGTTAGGCTTAGTCCCCCAATTTCCACCGTCCTTATTTCCCATGTTGAATACTAAATTAAAATCATATTTCAGCAAACACTCAGTTGGTGAACTTGGACAATATCTATCATCCACTGTCGTCTAGTGACTTTTGTCCCATCCAGCGAGAACAGAATCCTACAAAAACCAGATAGTCTTTTTGTGATGTACTAGTCATAAGGTTGCGTCTTGTGGTCTCTACAAAGTGCGCAAGACTTATGTACTGATTCCGTCCAATTCCGAAACTTTAAATTAACTTCTTTACTATGATCATGAAGGAAACTACTCACAAGGTTGCTAAAAACTCCGCGACAGCCCACGACCGGTTTCGCCCTTCTTGTGGCTCATCACATCACTATGCCAGAGAAGCAGTGCGTTTATATTAACGTTCCGCGCATTGGTGGTCACGTTTCTGATACATCGCAGCTCGAAACGTTCAATGTCGTAAAAGCTATCACGGATGCATAAACACGGACCACAACATTGTCGCTGATCAAATGTCCTTGAGGTTGTTTCGATAATCGAATCGGCAGAACCGATGGTAAGTGAAAGAACACATGCCTGAGAAACGTGAAATGTTTACCCATCCTAGCTTAAATTTTGTCAAATCCAAGGTCAAATCATCCGCCACAAGGAATCTAATTGAACTCCTGTCATCCTTTCAGGTCACTGCACGTAGACTGAACAGGTTTAGTGAAACATCCACATTTGGCGTCAGGGAGCTATTGCTCACATATCCTTGTTCGCTAAATGTGAATTTATTGGTATCAAGAGGAAAAGACTGATCGCTAGCGAAACTGATGAGGGCCGAACTAATTCGATCGTATCGTGTTTATCAGTTTGGTCTGTCTCACTACACATAAGGTTGCTGAAAACTTTTCGACAGCCCGCGACCGGTTTCGCCCTTCTTAGCGCTCCTCTGGTAAGCGCAATCCCCGAGTTCTCGTCAACCTCATGTTCTACCTGAACCAAATTGGACTGATTTCGATATTTCGATACTCATCGGCACACGAAGTCAGTTTTGATTGTCATAAACGAAGGACATTCAGCTGTATTCAGTTTAATATCTTGTCAAAACTGAAGCTGTGTGTGCAAAGGAAAGTATTTGTTGACGGTTGGCTCATGTTTCCTGTGATACTATGCCCATGGTACACTGCTCGCGTGCTTGAATTAAGTGTACTCTTCCTTTCCCTTACCAGAATTTGGCTGTTACTCGCTCCTACAATCGGCTCGATATCACCGTTTACGATGCTCTCGCGTTCCATCGGTCGAACAGACAGGTAGGTCTTTCCACATTTATCGATATCTCGGGAAAATTTGGACTTGCTGTTGTGAAATATGTAAAGCTAGGCCGAAAATTAATTCTCCACCGAAATCACGTGACCCTGGCCGTTGCTATACTCATGACCTTATGAATGCTTTTATTTATCCTTATATCAGAACCTTTTTATCAAATGCGGATTTTTTCTATGGGTACTGTGGAGTTGCGGACCGTTTTCTAGCTATCATTTTGCTTGTATTGATGATGATGATGATGATGAGAACTACGTGGACAGAACATACTCGAATGGTGAGTTTCATGCTCTTTACGCTTGATAGCTTATGGCTGCCAACTTAGATATTACGTAATCATTGACCGATCGGTCGACACAAACCTGGGACAATCATCCCCATGGGTAGAATGCATACGATCCATCGTATGCGTCTTATGTTAATTACTATCACTTCGTTGTTCCCTGACATTCTGGATCCAAGCACCCGATAGCTACCTTATGCATCAATGTGTCAGTGATCTTTTTTGCTGGATGAATAAGCTCCCGTCATGTTGAAGTGAGCCCGACAGAGCTCAGTAATCAAGGCACGAACCTGGTAACGGGAAGGTCCCTGGTTCGAACCCGACCTCTGTCTCTCGACTTCCCCTGTCTTGGTTTGGGCAACCTGGCAGTATCCCAGCCCTCGTGCTTCCTCCGGGTGGCATGGCAGCTAAGCACCGAAAGGATATTGCAGCTGAGTGACTTAACTTTTTTAAGGTCGGTGGCTAAAACCCAACCTCAGCACTTCAACTTCTCCTGTCTAGACATGCGTAGCCTGACACTATCTCAGCCCACCTACTTCCTTCAGGTAACATAGCTGGGAATCGTGCTGTGGCTGAATGATTGCTGTCATTTTTGTGGTGAGATCAGTCTAAAGTGTTTACTTGCTTTGAAAAAAGGTTACCTGTCTTTAAGTCACATAAGTTCTCACCTTGAAAGTTGTCTCACGGACGTCCTAGAAATGAACGAGTTTTGAACTACCCGGTTTAGGTGCACCACCATCCAGTTAGGTTTTCAGATTTTTGGCCCGAAGTATTTTCCACCACCATTTGATTCGTTCTACCACGCCCCGATCAGATTTCGCTCTGTCCACCAACGACAGCGCGAGATTTGATGTCTAGTTTTCGTCATGTGAATTCTACCTAGTGTTTTCAAAAACCCCAGTATGCAGTAGTGTACGCATCGGCAAGAATCAGCCCCAGCATCGTGCTGGATCGCAAGCTACTTGATTGGACACCTCACGACATGGTTCACTGAAATGAATGATTTGCACGGCTTTCTGACAGAATTACCGCATAGACGCACCAGGCGGTCACCAGTTCAACCAACATTCTGGATGAGCTCCTTGATCTAGAAGGTTTTTCATTGGTCCTGGATGTTTGGGATTTTGTCGATCATGAAATCCGCAGTGATGTTCTGATACGCATAAATCGTTTATGAAAAGTCGTCTCCCCTTTTCGTTCTCCAAACACCAACCGCCTGGTCACTGTGTGCAACAACCCCAATTTACGGGATACCGTTAGACATTTCCGCGAAGTAAATCTTCACATCACACCTGATTCTTCTTGTCATGGAGATCTCGGACAAGTTCCTTGAATTTCAGCGAAGCAGACGACGTGGATTCTTCTTCCAGAAGACGTCTTGGTAACCTTTACTGCCGGAGGTACCTGTACAAGGTACCTGTACAAACTGACTTTTACACTCCAATATGTTTGTGTGTGTGTATGACAGGCAAGAAGGGACCAGAAAGGTTGCTATGCTGCTACTATCAATGAATTCGGTGAACTCAGTCACACGTTTGGCATGAAGACCATATCCCATTCATTCAAATATAGACAGAACCACCACGGAGCCCAACCAGCAAAGCTGTCCACTTAAGAAGTCCATCCCGAACTGATTAAAATATGATGATTTGTTCCCTTTGATGCTGAATTACTGTGGCTCAAAGTGTCCAGTCAGATGTGCCGGTTATTCCGTCGAGACTAGCGAGAATCCCGAAATGTCAGCGAACGGAGAATGGACAGAATAACTCCGAGACCTGGAGCGTGTTCATCTGGTTCTTGGCATCATGAAACACTTAGTGAGGGCCTGCATTCAGATCTCTTGAAAGTGATGTAGTTTGTTCGTATCACACAATTCCAAAGTCTCTACACAGCAACACCAAACAACCCCGGGTCCGTTTTATGGACTCCAGAAGCCGTTCGATTCAAATGATCGCCAGCATCTGCCTCACAAACTTTGTGACACTAACACCTCATGGCCTGTTATATAACTGTTCTGCCAATCACTGGTTGTACGGCAGTGAAGCATCGGTGTTGAGCACTTGATTGATAGTGATCGTTCAGCTATAACACCTCTCCAAATGATCGCCAGCATCTGCCTCACAAACTTTGTGACACTAACACCTCATGGCCTGTTACATAACTGTTCTGCCAATCACTGGTTGTACGGCAGTGAAGCATCGGTGTTGAGCACTTGATTGATAGTGATCGTTCAGCTGTAACACCTCTCCGGTGCCTAACAGCCATACCACCCGAAGGAAGCACGAGAGTTAGGATACTGCCAGGTTGTCCAAGCCTAGACAGGGGAGGTCGAGTGGCAGAGGTCGGGTTCGAACCACGGACTTTCCGGTTATTAAAATCGCGCTGTAACCACTTGAGCCATCTCACTCCATGTTGGACACTAATATCATGCTGTCGATGATGATGATCAACCGGGAACATTCTGTTCAGACTGGTGACATCTTGGTGTACCCCATTGCGCTGCCCTGTTACAGTTTCTATACACTTATAAAGGCCATTGGGTAAGCCGCGAGCACACGAACACAGGATGTGACACTGTACTTTAATGCATCCTAGTGCATATAGCCTGTGCTCACTCTGTGATGTGGTGAACTCTTGATAAAAAATTAAACCCGTTCTCTCCTCAGCCATTCTATGCGTTCGTTCACTCATACTCGATCTAGTTCAGTACTTGAGGCGAAACGCCACTTGTGTAGTATCAGTATTCATTTGTACGCAAGGTTAGCTAAACACAAGAGATTGATCGGTTGTTGAATTCAGGCGAAGATCTTGAAGCTGAGCCTCCAAGCATAATCTTTTGTGTCTTTTTGTAAACTTCTCGTTTTTAAAGCTGTTCTGTTTGTCTCCTAGTTGTCTTTTGTTTCTCCAATTTGCACCTGTGTAGTTGTGTTTCTAAATATGCATTTTGTTGGGAACAGTGACCAACGCGGACGGGGATGATAGCTTGTCTTGTGAATTTAACCTCAGTGTTGCTCACTCCTCCACCTTATCCGAATGATAGTCAATTTGACAGTTTCCCGGAAGGTTTTAGGTTCAAATCCCGTTTGGAATTCATAGAATGTGCTTCGGAGTGCGAGGTGGCCAAAGTGGTTAGAGCGCGAATTTACCGACCGGAAGGTCGTGGTTCGAAATCCGACCTCAGCCTCTCGACTTCCCCTGTCTAGGCTTGGGCAACCTGACAGTATCCTAGCTCTCGTGCTTCCTTCGTGTGGCATGGCAGCTAGGCACTGGAAGGATGCTACAGCTGAATGCTTTCTTTCTTTTCTTCTTAAAGATGGATACTCATGCTATGTTGTAGCAGATATCTTTGATTGGCGGGTCTGTCGGAGAGATTTCAGCAACCTTACAAGTAGTTTGTTATATCAAGAGTCTTTTATATTGCTCTATTCGCTCTCTCTCATTTGCGACAAATTTCATTCTTCTGCAGCGATATCCCGTTCCTTTGACCTGCCGTAAGACCGATACTCTGGGTACAGTGATCGAACGCGTAGTGAAATCTGGAGTGAGTCTGGTTAAATTCCCATTTCTTTTCCTCATTGGCTTATTTTGTGTCCACATGTGTGCACTATACCCCGCTTCAATGAGAACCCTCGCCAAATCAACTTCAAGGATGTGATCTCACCT